TAAAAACAATAATAATAATAAGATAATAATATTAATAAAAAAAATTGTGATAACATAAAAAAAATAAATATGAATGAGCTTGTATTATTAATAAAATATTTAAATGTTGTTATTAAAAATTAAAAAGTTTGGAATACTTTATTAAAGATGATAAATTTAATAATATAGTTTACTTGATATTCTATTGCAATCATAGAATAATTAAATTATTTTATTTAATTGTTGTATTTAAATTAATTAATTACGAGCAAATGATATTAAATAAAATTAAAATAAACCAATCATCGGTATTTAAAAATTTCTCAAGTATACAGTCCATCTCTGTCTGTCGAATAAGCAGAAAAAAAGGGGTTGAGCCCACCTGTAGTACGCGCTGCCAGGCTCGAAGATGGACTTGCTGAAGCCAACCCTAAGCTCGAAATCGCAGCACAGGCCGTGGTTGCACAGGCGCTTGCTGTAGTGGGTCTCATCGTTTTTTTCGGGAGTCACGATCAGTTCGGACGTGTAGTTGGACAGGTCAGTCGTTCGGTAGAAATAGTGGCCGCTGGGCTGGGCCGTGGCTTCGGGCGACGTCGAGATTTCCGATCTGTCGAACTCGTAGGTGTACAGCTTGCTGCGGTCGATCGCGAGGGTTCGCTTCCCGTTGATTTTCTTGGGGATCTCCGACACTACGAGGACGTTGGCCGGTAGGTCCCTCGAGACCGTGTGCGCGTGGCCTTGGCGGCCGATGAAGATGCCACTTCCTGGTAACAGGAAAGGATTGATCGAGGTTTTACACAACGATAATGATAATTTCATAAATAAACGAAAATCGTAGAATTTCTTGAGCTCGAATTAAGAGTCTGTGAAGAAAATGTAGAAGAGCTTTCTCTAAAGTACTTAATCGGTTGGATTATGCGTACTTCGTAACAAGATGGATATTTGATAGCGAGTAGCGTAGTAAAAAAGAAAAACCATGACTCATTGCTACGTGGAATTTTTAATTTATTGCTTGCATATATTGCTTTGCGGTTTCTTATTTTGCAAGTCGTGTTTTATTTTGGAGGATCAAGAGACAACATGTTTGTCAGTTTCCGAGAAAGTGCATATATATCGAATTTATAATGATACCTCGTCGGAACTAACAAACACTTTTTTCTGCTCCACGTGGATAAACTTTAGAGTACATTGTAACGAAAATTAAAAACATGACAAAACTAAAAAATGATGTTATTTTTTATAATTTATAATGAGAGCATTTTTAAGGACAGGAAGATTTTTAAGCTAAAGAAGCGTCGAAAAAAATAAAGATTGTTTCATGGAGGCTTACGGAAAAGTACTGTTGTTTTTTTTTTTTAATTAAGTATTTGACTTTTTTTTTTACAGAAATGCACTCTTTCTTTTTTACAACATTTTCTCATAAGGACCCGTGTCGAAATGCTTATTTTTAACAATTTTTTTTTCATAAATTTTCCGATCGAAATATCAAAGAGTATTTTTAAAGCTCTCATCGTTATCTCAAAAAAGAAAAAAAACTTTACTAATACTTTTTTTAAGTAAACACAATGCAGTGCCCCTCACCTCCACTCCCAGTAACCGGATTGTTATGCCCAGAGACAAGAAAGTTCGTATCGGTAGCGTAAGCCCAGGCAGCCTGGACCTCATTATTAAATGCGTAGGGCAATTCAGAGTACCAGTGAACCGAGTAGACGATGTCAGTGACCCCAAGGTCACGAGTGAGATTCACCGCCGGTGATTCGAAGAGTATGTCGAAGCAGATGAACTGGCCAAACCGCACTCCAAAGTCCGTATCGAAGACAGTGGGCTCAGCCCACGCGGTCCTGTTGGTGCCCAACTCACCGAAGAGGTTATACTTGCGGTACCGCGATATAACCCGGCCCTTCCGATCGAAGGTCACGTGGGTGTTGTAGATCAGGAACCCATCAGCCGGGCAGCCGTCGGTGTTTGCTTGGCAGTCAACTTTTTCTCGGTGGTTTATCACTACGTACATTTGATAGTCCAGGGCTCCACACGACAACTTGGCCAAGGACTGTGGGTTATAATTTGTGTAATAATAATAATAATAATAATCTGGAGCGTCACCGGCNTGCAAGTCAGCCTGCTCTTGCCTAATGGAATCGACAAATGCGGGTGCTCGTGCAAAGCTCTGTTTTGTGTGATTTTCGGATGAAAGTTGATAGTCCGAGATTTAATACGTCGGATAGTTTGAAAGGTACAGTATTTTGACAATATTTTTAGAGTGAACTACTTTTAAAAATTAATAAAAGAAACAAATGCTTGTTTTGGTTTTCGTGTAAGAACATCAACATTTTTATTTGATATAATTGGGACAAATTTTAACATTTCTAGGATATTGTGATCATCTTTTGCTTTAATTGTAACATTTTATCACTACTCAGTTTCAATTCAAATTTGAAAGATATCATTTTGTGAAGTGACGTTCTTTTCCTTAAGCATTTTATCCCCCTCTCGTTAGTGAAGCGCTGCACGAAGTTTGCACGCGGTACAACGATAGTTACTCGTGACTTGTCGAAGCAATAACTTCGTCTTTCATGTGCTTCTGATGTAATTTATTTTCTACTCTCTTAAGATAAGTTGTAAAAGGATAGACGAGCCCAAACAACCACGATTTTACTCGCTTACTTGTACAAGAGAAAACAGCCTAATCGACGTTGCTGCGCGTATAGTATTTTAATTTTTTGTAGAGGAGACGAGTGCACTTTTTTATTTTTTTTATTTTGTGGAAGAAGCGTTATTGTCTTGGACGAAAAACTGGATTCGAATATACTTACCATGTAACAAGTGTGTTTTCTACAATTCGTGCGTGAGAGTGTGACGAACTTTTATATTTAGTAATAAGATTCGTTAAATCAAGCACCTGTTTTTTTTCCACATTAAGATATCTATCAAATACTTATTATTTCTATTAATGTTACTATTTTGTAGTTTAGGTATTATAGATTAATCGCAGAGCTACAAAAAAAAAAAAAAAGTATGTGGATAATTTTAGAAAAATGGAATAGTTCCTGCAGGTTTTGTTAGCACGGTATATTTATAGCCTTGAAGTAGAGGTAAAGCAACGCAGATGTATCATAAATGTAATTATTACAAATTAAATAAAAATACGGCACTCCTATGATTTCAGTGGTTCTACTTGTGATTATTGACATTTTCAATTATTGATTACGTACACTTGCGAATTTTTTTGGATCATCCTGCTTCTGATGGCACGGCACGACGTTGTCCTTTGGATCCGGAATGTAGGAGGCAGCCTCGCTTCGGGCTATTGTTTTGTTATCCGATGATGGAAGTGATAGACTTGACTCGGGAAAAACTATTATGTCCACCAACTGTAAAAACACGGAATAAATGAGGTAAAGTAAATATTAATGTTAGTGTCCACAATCATAGTAATAATAGTTATAAAAACAATAATAATAATAAGATAATAATATTAATAAAAAAAATTGTGATAACATAAAAAAAATAAATATGAATGAGCAGGATAAAATACTTACGCGTTCTTTGGCTTTCTTGATAAATTTTAGGTAATTGTCAGCATTGGCGTCCCCGGGGCTTCGTCCATCTTCGGATTTTTTAGTTACCGGCGTGTATTCGACGACTGCTCCGATGTAACTGGGCAGGGAAGGCAGCGAGTGCTACGAAAGGAAAAGAAAATACTTGTAATGTTATTTTGTACGATAAAAATTTTAAATAGTAAAATAAGTCACCTGATAAGTCACGAGAGGACATAAAATCACCAATATGATTCGCCAAAGAAGCGTCATTTTTATTGTAATTCACAGTTCATTCAGCTGGAAAATTGTTGTTCAAAATATTATTCTGTACTTAAAGTGTAAATATTTAATTTTGCATATTGTACAGGGAAAGAGAAAAAAATTTATCGTGCCGTGAGTATTTTCATATAGAGATTCGTATTTTTATTTGACTGACAAAGTAGTGGAAAAAGGTTTCACAGTACTGCCTCACTAAAGTACCAAGTTAATATGAGACGGGATGCATTCCTGTGACAAACACTTAACTTTAGTTATGATCTTGGACAAGTTTTCGAATTTTTTTATTCATGTCTCATTCTATCAGAATTTTAAGGATTATTGGAACTTGTAGATACAGTCATTGTGCACGAGTCAAGAATTTATACTATAGGCATTGAAAAAAGGGACCTCTGCTAAGGATAAAATTTGAAAATTAACTGATGTAATTGAAGTAAATTTAATGGAGTTGAATAAAAAATAAATTTGATAAATAAGTAAAAAATAGTACGAGTTTAAAAAGTGTGGTATTCACAATACTTTGTTCGGAGCGACTTGTACCTACTCGAAACACACAACTGAAGACGTCGTGTGAATGTAGGTAATACCTCTTCAAGTGCGGGTCTTATCAAGTCGCGTCGCGCTGTCTGATAAGGAATTGATCATACATTAATAAATGGTAATCTTTAGGATTAAATATAACCCTGTTATCTTATAAAGTGCAAAAATACTTATCAGTCGGGAAAGTACCGACAATAGTTAACACTTGATGTTAACTTCCGTCATAATGGGTTGAATTGTTTAGAATAATTTGTTACTTTCACAAATTTTACAGATTTTTTTTAATTTTGTTAATTTTTTTTTCTTCGACGAAATGAATCACATCTTCGATGTATGCAGATATCATGTTCAGTAAATTCAATAACATTATCTAAACATCTTTGGCTACAATCATAGATTTTTGCAAAAGAAATTTTTTAAATTCATTAAACAATAAATAAAGTAGATTTTACTTAGAAACAGAAAACAGTTTTGATTTTAGATAGTGGTTTAAATAGTATGTCGAAGCAGATGAACTGGCCAAACCGCACTTAGTCTAATTTAAATTGATGGTTACATTATAATGTATCATTAAATATTAGATAAATTAGATATATATTTAAACGTGTTTACAATCTAGTACAATATCCCTTAGTATAATCTAAAAAAGCTAAGGAAAAAAATTATCAACGATTTGAAAACGTTGGAGATTTATTTAGAAAGAAAAATTTTTTATTTCATCTATAAAGAAAATATTGTTGTTAGTTGAAAAATAAAACTAAAAAGTATTTAACTATTTGTATTTTTAAAAGGTGCTGTCTAATTTTTATTAGTTTTCAGTTCTCAAGTATTAATTTAAAAGCCAATTACCGTCAACCTACTTCTTTTTATTTTTACAGTGTATGTACAGTCTATGTTTTATTTATACAGTCATTTATTTTACAGAAATGTATGTATTATAATATCAAGTATTTTTACTGAGCTCGGCTTAGACAGATGAATAAAAAATGTTTAAAATAAGCAAATTGTCGAAGAGAAGATGGTACACATTAACTTTTTCTGATATAAAATTATTAATGATTATTTTCGCTGACTACTGCAAAATAATGATGTCACAGATACTCAGTTAGTTGATACAAGAACTACGATACAAAAAAAAGTTGATACAAGAACTACGATGTTTCAGTGTCAAATAGCGTCTACTTGAATTCGAGTCCGTCAGGTAACGTGTACACTCTAGGAATGCGTAGCCACAAAAATAATGATCACATTTAATACAAAGTATCTCGTGCGTGAGAGTGTGACGAACTTTTATATTTAGTAATAAGATTCGTTAAATCAAGCACCTGTTTTTTTTCCACAGTCATAAAAAATATCTCGTCACGGCCACTTGCGTGAAATGCAAAACATGTTTCATACAATATATGATATATCAAAAGTGTGAATAATAAACATAGTTTTTTTGCTTTGTTTTTCTAGAATTTCTTTAATTTTTATTCGATTAATAAAAAACATTGAAAATTCATTTCCGTTCCACTTTGTAACTGGATTTCTGTTGTTCTTGCGAGAATTCCTTACTTAAAAATAATACAATTATTTTCATGACCTACGTTACAATCTACTAACCCACTTACAGTCATTGTGGGATGTTTTTTTTTATAATGTAATGTACCTAGAATTTAACTGTTAAATTTTTTTACACAATCAATTCAGAATGTTCTTCTTAAAGGTCATAAAAATAAATTTGTTTTTTTTACAAAATCAATAAAAAAAGCAACATCTACCTCTAACATCTTAAAATTTTTTTACGTTGATTACCAATAACTAATAACTTATGTAATTATAAAAATCTTTTAACTACGTATGGAAAAATTATTTTAAAAAAATAGTAAGCCAAATGTGTTCAAACTTTATTCTCCAAATTATATCGCACGAAATTTTTTAAAAACCTTTAAAAATAAATTTTTTTAAATCACCGAAAAAAATACTTTTAAATTATCCGATCTAATGACAATCAGAATTTTATCACGGACAGACATCGTCTGGCATATTTTAAAAATAGCCTCTCGACCTAACGCACGACTGTCTGTATTCTTTGGTCTAATATCGTCACTGCATTAAATTTAATCTCGATTTCTCATTATTATCAATCAATAAATTGAACGCAATTAATTTCACAAAAATATATTGACTCGCGATTATTACCACATTGATAGGCATCTTTTAAAACAAATCGTATAATTAAAAATCGCTTGCACCATGAAAAAAATCACCAGGGCAAGTGACCATTGGACGTAAATTGCCCCACTCGATACCTGCACAAAAGAGGGATTACATAATGATAGAATGAGGGTAAGGAAAGAAAGCAAGTAATAAAATGTCAATGAAAACCACACCGGTGGTGGAGAGCGCGCGAACGAGTCATGCAAAAACCTACCTCGCTTGTTTTCACGGTCAAGGTCTCGGTCCAGCTGAATCGCCGACTTTCACCCGCACCACTCGCAGACACACGCATCAACCGCACTCTCGCGCAGCAGCTCAAACGTGGGCACAGCAACAAGCGTCACTGTCGTATATGTAATATGTATTGCAATGCCAAGCACTTGGCACTTTTTCTTTAGCTGCATCAACCGCAAGCCCTATACGAGCGAGCTCTGCTCGGAGCGACCAGGTCGAGGCTAAGGGAAGGTTAAAAAAAAAAAAAAAAAAACAACAACAACAGCAACAACAGCAAAAAAAAACAAAGAGGAAAGGAAATGCTTAAAGCGATGAAAGGTATACGCAAAGAGAGACGGAGACGTGACAACGAGAAAAGAAGTCGGAAACTGAATGGCGAAGGGAGGCTGGTCTAAAAATATATGACGCGACGCCTCTTTCCTGTTGGCCGAAAGTGTGTAAGAACATGAGCCGGCCGGTGTGTAAATCATCGGTGGTGAACAATACAACGGGTGTACGAAAAAATCAGTAGGGTACGAGGGGACGAGAGGGAGCCCAGCGTGGCACTGGCTGCAGCTTCTGTCGGTTCGACGCTGCTTTGGGAGGAGGAAAACGAAAGAGAGACGAGTGTCGTCAAGCGAGGGTTGGTTGTTGCGCGCGCGCGCACTTACGCATAATATATATTAGATTAGCCGGTGTACGTGTACGCACGACTGTGTATATACGCGTATTACATCGGGTACGATTGAAAGCTTGCGAGTTGCGATACATACAACTATATGTTAATAGGATAAAGAAAAATGGATGTCAATTTTTTGAATTTTCATTTTGATGCCGAAGATTTTTTCATTTCATGCCCTATTTTATCTTCGTTTTCTTTGTTTCTGATGTACCTATCTCTTACTGGACATAGCTTTTGACTTTGAGTGTATAAGTACATTATCGGTAGATTAATTTTAGGCTTCGATCGATTTTGCCGTTACAAATAATTTTTACTCCCATTGGGAATGTTACAATAAAATGTGAGAGCTTGTTTCAGGGCGGTTGCCTATACGTTACGGGCTATCATGTCAGAATGAAGCTCAGCGCGATCTTTGTTTGAGTGACCCGCGAAAAAACAATCCCACGATCCAACACTGTTTACCAATCATAAGGAAAAAAATTATCAACGATTTGAAAACGTTGAAAAACTTATTTTCAAAACCATGAGCTGTAAGGACTTTTAAAAAATGGCAAAATTCGTGCATAAATAATTTACGCTTAAATTTCGTCCCAATATGCACAGTAGCAAGTATCAATGTAGGTAAGAATGTCCAAAGTGGAGAACGAAGCTATTATTTTATATGATGGTCTGGAACAATTATAATATACTGTTTTGTTTATTTTAACAATTATATATAAAAGTACCACGAAGAGTCAGAGTTTGCACTCGTATTTTTTCATAGTTTTCATTACTTCGGAAAAGAAATTTTGCTGGATCATTCTTTTCGAAAAAGCAAATCTACGTCGTATTGCCGTTTTCGAAAAAGTAATTTTGTAATTTGGCTTTTCTCAAAATTTTGTCCTGCTTGATTATTAATCGTTACATTCCGCTTTGACACGTGTGTGTACGAGATTCGTCCGATTGGAATAAATTACTGTTTATACATGATTTTATATAATTATAAAAATTACACATTCTATAATCGTAAATTTTCACACTCGAGGTTTTACTCTATTGCAAGTCAGCCTGCTCTTGCCTAATGGAATCGACAAATGCGGGTGCTCGTGCAAAGCTCTGTTTTGTGTGATTTTCGGATGAAAGTTGATAGTCCGAGATTTAATACGTCGGATAGTTTGAAAGGTACAGTATTTTGACAATTTTTTTAGAGTGAACTACTTTTAAAAATTAATAAAAGAAACAAATGCTTGTTTTGGTTTTCGTGTAAGAACATCAACATTTTTATTTGATATAATTGGGACAAATTTTAACATTTCTAGGATATTGTGATCATCTTTTGCTTTAATTGTAACATTTTATCACTACTCAGTTTCAATTCAAATTTGAAAGATATCATTTTGTGAAGTGACGTTCTTTTCCTTAAGCATTTTATCCCCCTCTCGTTAGTGAAGCGCTGCACGAAGTTTGCACGCGGTACAACGATAGTTACTCGTGACTTGTCGAAGCAATAACTTCGTCTTTCATGTGCTTCTGATGTAATTTATTTTCTACTCTCTTAAGATAAGTTGTAAAAGGATAGACGAGCCCAAACAACCACGATTTTACTCGCTTACTTGTACAAGAGAAAACAGCCTAATCGACGTTGCTGCGCGTATAGTATTTTAATTTTTTGTAGAGGAGACGAGTGCACTTTTTTATTTTTTTTATTTTGTGGAAGAAGCGTTATTGTCTTGGACGAAAAACTGGATTCGAATATACTTACCATGTAACAAGTGTGTTTTCTACAATCACGATTCATTCCAATGAGAAAAATTTTTATCCATGAATATAAATTTGTACAAGCGCGATGATTTTTGTTTTTGCACGCGAAGCTTTTTGTACGTGTTAAAAATTTTCTAATATTTCTTGCAGACCTTATGTATTAAAATCACATGAAAAGCCAAATATCCTCAGCTTAATTACATTGTTATCGCAATAAATTTTTTAGATGAACATACATAAGTACAAGATAACTGCTTTATGAAAAAACAATTAGGAACAAAAATAAGGAACGGATTGTTATGCAAAAAATTAATGAATAAATATTGTGCGCATTCAAACTACCTATATCTGATTATCCATGTTGATGAATTAAATTGTATCACAATCATCATAGGTAAACGAAGAAGTTTCTTCGTTGAAAAAATCAACGTTTTTCCTGAATTCAAACACGTTTTTCCTACTTGACATTATGCATAGTTGGATTGAAATACTTAAAAAAAATTTTTTTTTCAGTTTATCTAATTAAACAGGAATTGTGAAACTTAAAAAGCATTATATTTACAAATTATCTTAAATATATATTAAATTAGTGTGAAATTGAATGAAAAGTGTGAGACCAATGAATCGTGTTTAAATACATAAATTTCAATGAATTCACAAATCATTAAAAATAAAAAACGTGTTAAAAACTAATACTTAATGCNCAAAAAAGTATCAGCATTACACTAAATTATATATTATAAAATTTTTTTGATATTTGTAAAGCAAATGAATCGAATACAATTTTTTTGTATTTTAATTTATCCTGTATATCCATATACAGTGAAATATTTAATGATTTATAATAGTCAGCTCCATTAGTTTTACACATTATTTATCCAACTTAATCGCAAACGCTGTTTGATTCACACATTAAATTTTTTACTATAGTCGATTTTTTTATAGATTACGAGAAGGAGGAATAAAAAAATCATTTACTAAAAAAACCAATGAGTTAACCATACATTTCATGTAATTATTCATCATTTTTCTTTCAGTTCTTTTACAGAGCATCGTTAATTGTATAGTTAAATAAGCAAAAAGGGGACACAATGAATATTTCACTCTTAATAATGGCTCTATGCTGGGCCGTCGTGTCACCTCAGTTAATACAGTTTTTGGGCGAAAAACCGGGTAGATTTGCACGCCAGAGGTATATACACAGCCGAGTTCAGATGGCAGCGAAAAAACTCGGCTTTGACGAGTCAATTGGAGGCTTTGAAAGCATTGATTTCGTGAGTGAATGTATTTCTCAATTTTCACCAAATCATATTCAATGAATCATAAGTTCATTACGTTTAATGTACTTATTCATTTATCATTGCAACCTTTTCACTCCAGAAAATATATATATATTTTTTTTTTTAACTAATCCAAAACAAGTTTAGAAGTTAGTAAAATCTCATCAAACGCGATTTATATGAACAACTGCGTAAGTTCTGTGTAAAGTATTAAAAAATAAATAAATTGACGCACTTGAATGATTACAAAATTTTAAATTACAATAATTTGCTTATTAACTATTTAAGGTGTTGGTTTAGGCGTTTCTAAACTACGAGAAAAGAGTCTACTTGAAATCAGAGATTACGTTGATAAAATATACCAAATTCGTTTTTAATGGAGAGATACTGTCGTCATTGATGTAGTTTTTGAGGTAATAGCTCCCTAAAAATCACCAGTTCACACATAATATTTTGAGAATCGTCAAAGAATTGACTACAACTCTGAAATTAAAAGATAATTTTCAAACAAACTATTTTTTCCAATGAATGAATAAATATTGTTAAACCAATATGTTGACGACTAAGATTTTACGGTATAATTGAGGGAAAAAAGATTTTTTTAAGTCATTGCAAAACTTATGATTGAAGATTTAACTTGAATACATAATTTTTAAGAAATTAACTTGTCTTGATTAAATCAACTCATCTTAGTGAATTTAAAATTTTTAAAACTTTTTTTTAAACTACAAAAATAGTTATAGATATTGAGATAAGTGAACAATTTGAATAATTTTGTTAGATTTTTCTGCAGAATCCTTAAAAAAAAAAAAAAAAACAATTCACTTGTTTATTTAATAGTGTTAATTTATTCAAATATTTTTTACTCATATATTTAATAAATCGTACAGATATAACTCGAATACAAACACTTGATCGAAATAATACCTGCTTACTTATAATTGTTTTTTTCCTAATAGTTATTCTGATAAAATTCAATAAGACTTGATGGATGATACCATTCGAGTTGACTCATTGTGCCATATCACGATTTTATGTTTATAACTTTTTTAATGTATGAAAAAAACAATGTTTTTACAAACGTTTTTAATCTTTCAGTAAAATTTTTTCCCTGATTTGAGTAGTTTTTTTCGTATGAATCTCAATTTTTCCTATTAAAGTGACTATGTATTTTCTCAAGTCCAAAAAAGTATCAGCATTACACTACAACACGTGTAGAACCATAGTAACTACAACTGCAATAAAAGACTTGCCGGAAAAGCAACAAAAAAAAAATTGAAATATAGTTAACATTTTTGCCTTTCTTGACTGGAAGTATAATACTCAATTTTGCGTTATCATACAAGGAATAAGAGTAATATTGCTGACTAAATTAATGAAAAACAAAGCATTCGCACCTAAGAAACAAGTAATAAAGTTCTTGCAGCCATCACCTATGACTCAGGCGGTCATTCGCATACCATAGACTTTTTCTACTACTTTTACTTCTATTCAAAATAACTCAAATGTACAGGTTTTTTTTCTGTCAGATCGTTGATTCATCTTCATTATTGACTACCTCGACCCATACCTCGTCGATGAGCGCTCGAGTAAAAACGAGAATTCGTTGCACGTGTCGCATAAAATACTAAATGTTTTTTTTAATTCAAAAAAAAAAAAAAAAAAAAAACAAGATGGCAAGGGTGGACGAGCACGGCTATCCTGCCGAGGAGCATACCGTGACGACGAAAGACGGCTACAAACTACGTATACACCGAATTCCTGGCAGTCCGGATAAACCAAAGGCACCAGGAAAACCAGTCGTTTATTTTCAGCATGGATTATTCTCATCTTCAGATCAATGGATTCTCATGGGCCCGGAGTCTGATTTCTGTGAGATTTAAATATCATTGTTTTGATCGATTAAATAGTATATGCTATTTCAACGAAATTTTTTAACTATTGGATGGTTTTTTTTTGTTATTGACCTCCCAGAGCGGTACTGATAAATGTAACAAATTTAAAAGTATAGTTTTACTCTATAAACTCCAAATGTAATATCAATTTGAATGCGAATGAAATGATTGTTGGTTTGGACCTTGAATTATTTTTTAATACTAGATCAATTGTCAAGATATCGGAAATTATTACAAAAAAAATCTTGACAAACCTGAGGATTATTTATCATCGAAAATATACACTATGAGGACATGTAATTCACGATTTACGAAGCATAAATCCACCAGTGGGAGCCGATTATGGACAACAGAAAACATCTCTTACATTTAGCAGTTAGTAAATGCATGTCTACATAGTGTACAACAAGAATGCATGTTGGATCTTTTTTTTTTTTTTTATACTGCAAGCGTGAACTGAAATAAAAATACGCTAATATCGTATGTACAAATACAAAGTTTACCATACCATGTACATTCACTTAAATATTGGGTGGTATTCAATAGTGGGTATCAGTCATAAGTCACTCCCCGAGAGTATGAGATGAAAAAAGTATTATATTTTAGACCATAAATATTGTAACAATGATGATTTTAGCGTACATGTTAGCCGACGCCGGCTATGATGTTTGGCTGGGCAATATACGTGGAAACACATACTCCCGCTCGCACGTCAAGCTGTCACCGGACTATGACGGAGAATTCTGGAACTTCAGGTAATTAATTTTTTCATCAGAAAAATTTTTGATTTTTATGAAAAAAAAAAAACAACATGAAAGTATAGTTTAAGGAATTTAATACATTTTTCAGTGATTGATTTTTTTTCTACTGTGNATTAAAGGAAACGCAGCAGCCCTCGTTGATTTACGTGGGCCACTCGATGGGTGGAACCATAAGTAACGTTTTGCTGTCCACCAAACCCGAGTACAACGAAAAAATCAAACTAGTGATTAATTTGGCCCCAGCTGTTTTATGGGTCTCACCTCATCGACCCACCGTACAACTCATCATGAAACATGCGGACACTATAAAAGTGACGTAATTATTTTTATAAATAATCGTAAGTTACGATAAACACCCTCACCACACAACATGTGTCAGAGAGTGTCCGTGTGAACAAAAAAATTGTTACGTGAGCAAAGGATTATCAATATTTATAAAATATTTTTAAAAAATACACAGGAACACCAAAATATGTATGAATAAGATGTGTTTCACACTGCTAAATATAAATCCAAGAGTGAAATTGTTTAACACGTAACTATTTTACTACAGTTTTCCAGTACGAAATGGTTTTTTCGTTTAACAGAAAAATAAATTACACTGCTTACATAGAATAATAAAGAGAAAATTTTTAAGCATATGTCATTGGTTAGAATTTTTTTTTTATGATTTACAATCCACAAGGATGTTGTTGTTAAAGTTAAACCTTATTAATGGAAGACATGAATATTTTTCATCAAAATTTAAATTTTAAGGGACGAGTAACAACGAGAAAAAAATTAAATGACATCCATCACAACATACGTTAGAAAATGAATTTCACGATTTATATTGTAACAATATATCGCACTTAGACTAATTACAATAATTTTAGCATTCTTTATAATATTTCTTATTTTTTTCTTTTTTCGCACCAGTTACCACGAGATGGCCCTGTTAGATGTTACAGCAGTGATTGACTATATATTACTGAAAACGCAGCAGCCCTCGTTGATTTACGTGGGCCACTCGATGGGTGGGGCTATAAGTACCATTTTACTATCCACGAAGCCCGAGTACAACAAAAAAATTAAACTAGCGATTGGTTTGGCCCCAGCTGTTTTTTGGTACGCATCGCCACTTCCACATGCCGCAAAAGTTGTGAAGATTAACGGCGAAGCTATAAAAGTAACATATACATAATTATTTGTCAACAATTAATCGATTCAACGTTTATTAATAATAGCCCCTCATCGAAAATAATTACCAGAAATACTACTGATATAACTACAAGTGGTATTGTTACTTCAATTAGTTTTTTATCCATAGGAAATCACCAGTTGGAAACAACATAATATAATGTCTTTAAAAGTTTTGTTTGATTTTGAAATACAATTCATCAACTAGCTTTGATCTGTCGTATTTCCAAGACTTAAATGTCATAATTATTTGTAATTTACAGAATTTCTTGGTAAATGCAAGAATTTATGAATTGCTTCCATTAAGTGCCGCAACTTCAAGATTATCGAAAAACGCTTGTAAAACTAAAAGCATATTCTTCGATTACTGTCTGACAGTAATGAGCTTTGTAAATGGTAACAATCCTCGTCAGTTGAACTCTGTGAGTAATGAACTAAGATACACATTAGAAATGAAAAATATCCATTTCTCAATTCCATGATGCGGATGTGAAATTTCATGAAGAGAAAACTTTTTTAGAGCATATTGCCGAACGTAGTCACAGCTTTTCCAGCTGGAGCATCGCGTCAAACGGCTTTTCATTTCATACAGAATATGCATTTAGATGGAGATAAACAAAGAACAAGTAATATGAAAATATCGATAAAACTTATACTTTTTCCACGCAGTGAAACGGATACGATTGTAATTCAATGTTTTTATCCCAAGGGGAATTTCTAATGTACGACCACGGGGAGAAGAAAAACTTGAAAAAATACGGAAAACCAGAGCCACCGTCTTACAACTTGAGCAACATTGTTGCACCCGTAGCCTTGTTTTATGGACTTGGTGATTCCCTCGTAGGATCTGGGGTACGCTTTTTAAAATATTACTCGTGGTTCCAAGCCTTTGAGAACAGTTGGTACAGGGTCACAATTTTTCTTTTCTTTATCCCTTCATTTGTAAAGGGCAAATGGGCAAAAATTATTTATTACCTTTTATTGGCACAATTAACTATTGTTAGGTATTAAAAAATTCCACGAAAATATATGGCCATTTTTTTTACGTAAGCATAGTAAGAAACAGCAAATTTTGTAAATTTTTATCAAAAACATACGTCATGCAAATATAGAGTTTGATTAATGTCACATTGTACATTTCTAATTAAATTTTTGTCATGTACGACCGCGGACATGATTTGTTACTTGTCAATGACCAAGTGCTTGGATTGAGTCCACTTTAGCAGGTGTACCAACCAAGGCGAAATTTTTCTCTTGTAATATAGAACCGACGACGTTTATACACTGCTCGTACGAAAAATAAAATTTGCTAGTACATAATAGATTATTTCACTCTGCTCTCAGTTACCTACACTGACTGTTCTCGTACACCGACGACGGATGGTCGTGAAGTAATGAATAATACTATCAGTATTGGTATTTGAAGTAAATATGTATAAAATGATTTAGGATGTGATTGAATTGTCAAAAAAACTAAAAAACGTCGTGGCATTGGTAGAAGTTCCTGACCCAAACTTTGGCCACATGGACTTTATAATGGCCCAAGATGTGAAAAGTTTATTGAACGATCGGCTGTTGGAACTCGTTGAGGACGTGACTAATAACAAAATTACAGAAAGATAGTCTTCAAGAGTAGCTAAGTGCTCGGAGCACGAGTAAATATAACAACGTAGTGCCACATTTGAAATATTTATTATTTAAGACATTGGTTGAATTTAAATATTGTAAGAATTTCAATAGCGTTTTGTTATAGTTTATATCGTTGTAAAAAAAAGTATAAAAAATAAAATAAGGTAATTAATTTTTTCATCAGAAAAATTTTTGATTTTTATGAAAAAAAAAAAACAACATGAAAGTATAGTTTAAGGAATTTAATACATTTTTCAGTGATTGATTTTTTTTCTACTGTGTACGAGTGAAATAAGGTGCTAAAGTCATTGATTGATATACATAGTAGTGTATGTTGTTTATGTAAAAAAAGGCCATGTATTAATTTAAAATAATTTTTCCGCCCTCGGGTGGTTTTGGGAGGCTGGTACTTCCTCGGGCGAAAAAGCAGTTTTTCGGAACTCGTTCGAAAAGTCTCCTTTACGAACCTCGTTACGTCCCTCGCCTTCGGCTCGGGCCGCAAACCTCTCGGTTCGCAAACAGAGACNCAACGATCGACTACATATTAAAGGAAACGCAGCAGCCCTCGTTGATTTACGTGGGCCACTCAATGGGTGGAACCATAAGTAACGTTTTTTATTCTTTGATAAATAAATATAAATAAGTAAACAAATACTTTTCAAGAAGTAAATATGCTTCATTTTCATGAAAATTTTTGCTTTATTATTGTTGTACGTGGAAAGAGGACACAGCTGATTACAAATATAGGTATAAAAATTACGGTAACAAGCAGATTGAATTCGTGTACCTCCGTCCACTCAACTTATCTTGTGTCCAGGCTCACAATAGCGCAAAATTTAAAGATTCGTGAGTTTTGTACGGTTGTACTGAGTCGTCATTCAAATTAATATTACGATTACAAACTCGCAAGCTGTAAATTACTTATACAATGTGACTTGGTTGTTTGCACTGTTTGCTCTAATGTGTAAAATTTACCTTTAAAATGCGTGATTTTTGTATAATCGCTCTTCTTGAGGAGGTAATTTTGTAAAACTACTCTAATTAAACGAGCAAACCTATGTAATATCGCTGTCTTTGAAAAAGTCACTGCGTGATTCTGCGTTTTTCAAGATTGCAGTCTACCCGGTTTATTTAGTAGAAACATGTGAGTTGTCAAATAAAATTTCAAAAAATGTAAGCACGAGACTCAACCATTTAAGAAAGAGTAATCTTATTTGATTGCTCTTTGGGAGAACGTGTGTAATTAAAAAAATACACACTCCAACTCCAAAAATTGTTGAAATTTAGTGTCTCCTCTGTCCTGCGAGTCAGCTTACCATTACCGAATGAGACGTCCGCCCGTCGCGAGTAAAGTCCTGTTCTTTCTAGATCTTTTGCAATAAAAGTGTTTACAATATTGTAAAAAGTGTCATCTTGTTGATAAAAAATAGAAAAATTGAAGGATCTTGTTGTAGTGCTCTTGCGTAAGTGGTCCTGATCTTGTCTAAAATTAATCCTGGCTTCTCGTACGAAAATCTCTATCTTGTTTTTAAAAACTTTAATTTTTCAAATTAATGTAAAAGCATTTTTAATTTATATAAAAATTTATTTCTATAGTTTTAAAATAACATGAATCTAAACACACTGAGAAAAATATTGCATTATTTACAAATAGTGTATGTTCATGACATTTCTAAAAGTAGTTGTTAAAACATTATAGTGAAATGAAATATCTTTATTTCACACATTTTTGCCCTGAAGATACGTTTACTACGAAATCAGTAAAAAAAATTTTAAATTCGCTAATATTTTAATTAATATTTGCGAAAATATGTTATCTTAATGTAGTAAAAATCGCAGTTAACATGTAGAATAATTTCGTACTCAAGAATTATTTTATAACTGTAAACGTTAAGAACATTTACAAGTGTTTTACTACAGTTTTCCAGTACGAAATGGTTTTTTCGTTTAACAGAAAAATAAATTACACTGCTTACATAGATTATTTAAAATTGAATTTGGGAAATAAATAGCATAGTAATGTGTTATAAACAGAAAGAACAATAAAAAGAGCACGTATGATGATTGCCACTAGTAGACAATAAAACCATTACTTCAGTATACAAAAAAAATTGCAGATCCTCGATTTATTCACTTGTTTGTTTATTAGTTCCAGCTTTTTTGTAGTCGAGTAAAAATCTTGGAAGTGAAAAGTCCCGAAAAAGACAATCATGGCAAGAGGTGCTTTGAAGATTACATTCTTAGTACTAACTCTATGTTCGGGTGACGTACTATGTCAGCTATTTCAGTTATTTGGTGCCAATCCAAGCCGATTTGCGAGTGAAAGGTATATGCGAAGTAGATTTCATATGGCTGCAAGAAAACTTGGTTTGAACTCATCAGTTTCTGAAAACTCAGATGCTCTCGACTTCGTGAGTAAATTCTGAAAATTATTTGATGGGAATCATTTTATTGTTTTTGTGATTTAAGGTGTTTTTCACGTTTTTTAACCACCGATCAATATTTTTTTTTTCCCTTGTTAAAAGAAAAAAATTTATAAAAAGATGCAAATAGTTTTTCTTAAGTAGTAAGTTTTTGCTAGTACTACGGACTTTAAGATAATTTTCATAGTAACATTTTCACTAATCACAAGCACATGTTTTAGCTATTAAATAATTTAAAAATAGCCAAAGAGTTATTAAAATAAAAAAGTGCTATTGTAGAATTAAAAATTGGAAAAATTGTTTGTCTGCCTTATGAATATTCCCAGTTAAAAAAATGTATGAAAAATTTTGTTAATGACAAAAAATTTTTTACGACTGTCAAAAAAAGGTAGCAATGGTAGACGAACACGATTACCCCGTAGAAGAGCACTTAGTGACCACAGAGGATGGCTATGAATTACACGTACACCGAATTCCTGGCAGTCCGGATAAACCAAAGGCACCAGGAAAATCAGTCGTTTATTTTCAGCATGGGCTATTCTTCTCTTCAAATCAGTGGATAATTATGGGCCCGGAACATAGCTTTGGTAAAATTGTGTTTTCTGCTTTTGTCAATAAAATAATTGAAAAAAATTTTTTTTCGTTTCATAAAATATATTCGGTCCTACGGTTATTTTTTCCAATTATTTAATGTCTTCAATTTAAGTAACAATTTAATTGCGATTTACTTCATTCTACATCTCAACGCAATTGCACCATCTCATACCTCGGTTAAAAACCGAGCAAAAATAATTAAGAAAAATTAATACAGAAGTATTCAGAAGAAAAAAATCTATTTTTTTCCACTCATAGCTTATGGGCAGTACAAACAGACATTACTGACGTCATGCTGTTTTAAAAATTTTTTATTCATTAATAATTACAAGTAATAATTTTTTCATTATTTAATGTACATATAAATTGGACGATTTAATATTTCATAACGATACAATTAATTTTTTCTAGTATCTATAGTTACTTGTCAATGACCAAGTGCTTGGATTGAGTCCACTTTAGCAGGTGTACCAACCAAGGCGAAATTTTTCTCTTGTAATATAGAACCGACGACGTTTATACACTGCTCGTACGAAAAATAAAATTTGCTAGTACATAATAGATTATTTCACTCTGCTCTCAGTTACCTACACTGACTGTTCTCGTACACCGACGACGGATGGTCGTGAAGTAATGAATAATACTATCAGTATTGGTATTTGAAGTAAATATGTATAAAATGATTTAGGATGTGATTGAATTGTCAAAAAAACTAAAAAACGTCGTGGCATTGGTAGAAGTTCCTGACCCAAACTTTGGCCACATGGACTTTATAATGGCCCAAGATGTGAAAAGTTTATTGAACGATCGGCTGTTGGAACTCGTTGAGGACGTGACTAATAACAAAATTACAGAAAGATAGTCTTCAAGAGTAGCTAAGTGCTCGGAGCACGAGTAAATATAACAACGTAGTGCCACATTTGAAATATTTATTATTTAAGACATTGGTTGAATTTAAATATTGTAAGAATTTCAATAGCGTTTTGTTATAGTTTATATCGTTGTAAAAAAAAGTATAAAAAATAAAATACAAATCATACGAAAAATATCAAGTCATAAAGAAGTATTATTTCAACAATAATATGTGTACCTGTTTTGCGGTATGCAAATCTTACAAAAAATGTTAGTTACAGTATATCTATTCATAAAATTAAAGTTATTC